TACGCAATTATAATATTCCATAAACAACTACATAATATGCAAAATCAACTATAATATTTTCAATTTTTCTAATACATTTTTTCGTTTTTTTTTTCCAGTCGATTTACCAAATCGACAAATAACTACATATTATTGAAAACAACTATAAAAAATAGAAATCAACTAAAAAACGTCGAAAACAACTAAAAATAAATAAAGTACAATTTCTTTTTCATTTTTTTAATTCAATTTTTTTCGATTTTTTTTATTCCAGTAGATCATATTATTGGAAAAAACTATAAAAAAAAAATTAAAATCAACTACCAAAAAAATCAAAAATCTACTAAAAATGTCGAAAACAACTAAAAACTCTCGAAAAACAACTATAAACAAAATAGCAGAATAACGAAAACAACTATATTGTTGTGTAACATACCCATCATAAAAAATCGTCAAATAAAAAATTCAGAAAATTGCTTCTCAATTAACAAGATCCAAGCATTAGAGGAAGACAAATCATTGCCGCAAAGTCAATTAGAATGGCCCTCCTCACATCATCCCTGCAACTCGACAATGGAGAGAAATCCTAGAACGAATAAAAAACAAAATATAGATTGCCACAACCTGTTAATCCAATCTTCAACCAAACGAAACCCTAAAAATCGCGGGCATGGATGATATGAGATGACGGCGGTGGTGCATAACTGAATTGGAGGAGTGGAAGTCAGGCGGAGGTGTAATGGAGGAGTGGCGGCGGCGGTGCGGTTGTGGGGTTCCCTCATCGTTGTCGAGATGTGGTGCCGCCTTCTTCATCTCCTTGCCCCCGACTCCGACGCTGCAGATTTCTAGGTAGAGAAAAAGAGAAGAAGAGATGGAGATAATATTTGACGATACAACGGTTGTTGGATAAAAAAGATGTGGCTAGGGTTTTATGCGTTAATTAGGGACACTATAGGTATAACACCTAATAATTATATAAATATTAATTTAATTAAACAATTAAGGGGGGTTTCACTATTATTGAAAAAGGGAGTGGATCCATCATAATATATCCTAATGTAGTGGGGGGTTCTCACTAATAATCCCAATAAATTATTAAATTTATCTAGAATGTACAATTATAAAATTTACAAATAATTGGATTCGAATTAAATAATTATAGGAATTTTAGAAAATATATGAAACTATAGAAGTTATTAAAAATAGGGTAAATTACGAAAATCCACCTGAACTTAGGTTAAATAACGAAAAACACCCCACATATCCGTAATAACCAAAATCTTCATTTAATTAACTGTTGATCGAGTTTTTTAACAGAAAATGTGTACAGACTATGATACCTTCTGTAAAAATATAGGTAAGAAATAAAAATAAAAAAAGTTTGAAATTGTGTAAAGTTTCCCTGAAAAAAAACATCGTGGAAAGTCACACTATAAGGGGTTGGTGTAAGACGGAAACAAACATCAGGGGTTTTGGTAATTACGAATAGGTGGAGGTGGTTTTTGTAATTTAATCTAAATTTAGGGGGTTTTCGTAATTACCCTTAAAATAGAAATAACCAAACAAGAAATATACTATTATAATATAGAAATAATAAATGATCTAAATTCTTCTAGTTATTTAATATAATTTAAATAAAAAGAAATTGGGGAAACTACCATTTTCATCCCTCAAGTTTGCATCAATTTCACATTTGGTCTCCTATGTTTACAAAAAGCACATTTCTCCCTCATGTTCCAATAATTTAACATTTTTGGTTTTTTCCATCAATTTACCGTTAGTAGGTTATTTAAGGCAGTGATGGGCACATGCTTCATCGTGTTAGTTTTAACGGGAAAGTGACCAAAATGACTAAAAGTGTTGAATTTTTGAAACATAAAGGACTAAATATATTTTTTGTGAACATGCGGGGCCAAATGTGAAATTGGTGCAAAGTTGAGTGACACAAACTATGATTTTTCCCAAAACAAATCCCATTTTGTAAAATTTTGCAATTGAATTAGAATTGGGAAAATTACAGTTTCTATCCTTCAAGTTTGCAATGATTTCATATTTGGCCTCTCGTGTTCACAAAAAACACATTTGGTCCCTCATGTTTCAATAATTTAACATTTTTGATACATTCCGTCAATTTTCCGTTAGTCCGTTAGTTAATACAATGATGGGCAGAAACTTGATTTCGTTAGTGTTAACGAAAAATTGACGAAAAATGACTAAAAGTTTTGATTTTTTTAAACATGTGGGATCATATGTATTTTTTGTGAACATGAGGGGCAAAATGTGAAATTGGTGCAAACTCGTGGGGTGAAAATCGTATTATTCCCAATTAGATTTCTTACAACTTGATACACTCTTTATACGCAGTGAGGTGAACAAAAGCAGTTTACACTTACACTACAGAAAGCTACCTTCCTTCTTCTCTAAAACTTCATTTTGCAGCTGAATTTATCTTCAACAAAATCTCAGAAGAATGAGGGTTTCTGAAATAGCTCTATTTTGTAGAGCAATTACTTCTAAATCTTCTCATGAATACAGTATTTTCACTTCTTCTTTCTCTCTCTTTCGTTCAAATTTTCACAAAAAGAGGCCATTTTCAACTCTGCGCACAACAGATTTGAGTTGTATAAATGAAGTAGATGATGCAGTTTTCTTGTTTCGGCAAATGATAAGAATGCAGCCACACCCTTCCGTTGTTGAATTCACCAAACTGCTGCAAGTTATTTTCAAGATGAAGCAATACTCTGTTGCCCTTAAACTGTTCGACGAAATGCGTCAATCGGCTGCCCCTCTGAACGAGTACACCATGAACATATTAATTAATTGTTGCTGCCTTTTGAAACGCGTAGACGTTGGTTTTGCTGTCTTCGGCAGCTTCCTTAAACACGGTTACGAGCCAAATGTTACGACATTCACCACCCTCTTAAAAGGGCTCTTTTTAGATTGTAATGTGGCCGAGGCGGAGAAATTGTTCAAGAAGATTTTGAGTTTGAAACTCTGTGAGCCAGACGAAGTTACGATTCTTACTGTGATAGATGGACTCTGCAAAGCTGGACGTGTTCTTGCTGCCCATGATTTGCTTTGGTTATTGGATAAGACTATCTATAAACCTGATGTTAAGGCTTATAGTGCGGTAATTGATGGCTTATGCAAAGGCGGAATGGTCGATAATGCCCTCCACCTCAAGTCTAGAATAATTGACAAGGGCATTTCACCCGACGTTGTCACCTATAACTCGATGATACGGGGCTTGTGCGATTTTGGTAGATTGAAAGAGGTCAAAGACTTACTAAACGAGATGGTCGATCACAAGATATATTTCGATCTTGTTACTTTTAGTATATTGGTGGACGCGTTCTGCAAGGAAGGAAGCGTTAAAGAGGCTGAAGATATTTTGGGAGTTATGAAGCAACAAAATATTCGTCCCGATATTGTCATTTACACTACACTGATGGATGGGTACTGTTTGCAAGGGAAAATGGAAAAAGCGAAAGAAGTATTCGATTCCATAACGGGCAACGGCCTTAAGCAATCTATTATGAGCTACAACACTTTAATAAACGGATATTGCAAGAAGGGTAAAGTCGATGAAGCTTGGCGTCTTTTTCTCGAAGCTTCTTCGAAAGGCTTAGAGCCCACGGCGGTTAGCTATAGCATCATGATACATGGATTATTTAGTGAAGGCAGAATTGCTGATGGATGGAATTTGTTTAAGGATATGGAAGCTCGGCACGTACGACCCGATTTACATACTTACAATGTTTTGTTGGATAGCTTGTGCAAGACTCGTCAGATTGCCGAAGCATTTTCGTTTCTAAAGGCGATAGAAGGTAAAGGGTTAAATCCTAATATAATCACGTACGGTACCCTGATAAACGGTTTGTGCAGAGATGGGAAACTTGAAGATGCAAAGAAGCTTTTAAACGAACTTCCGTCCAAAGGTTTGCAACCCGATTGTCAAATGTATACAATTGTTCTTGGTTCACTTTGTCATGAAGGATTCGTAGACGAGGCAAAAGATTTGCTTGTGAAAATGGAGAGTGGTGGGTGTGCACCGGATAGCGTGACGTACAACAACATAATCCAGGGTTTGCTAAAGAGGAAAGAGGTTTACGAGGCAATGCCATTCTTAGAGGAAATGCACAAAAGGGGATTCTCGGCCGATGCAACCACTTCATCCATGTTAATTGATCACCTGCAAGTATATAACAAAGATGTTGTTCTTCTGGAAATGGTTAAGAAAGTTGTACCGAAAATATAATTTATTTATGGGTAAATTACAACCACCCCTGAGGTATTGTCAAATTACGACAAAAAAACTTCATTTTGGTAATTACAACCACCTCTCAACTATAAATCTTCTTACACGTCCACCCTTACGGTTTCAAATTTAGTGGAATTTTCTAGATTATATGGAATATTCTCAATTTTGTACCCGTTTTATCTCATTCGAGCTCCACATTTTGAAGATAGATGATCATAATATGTGTTTTTTGGGTTGTATATATATATATCGAATTCTGGTGCATCATAAACTGTATTTTTGGCACAAAACGAGTACAAACTAGAGAACATTCCACGGAATCTAGATGATTATGTTGAATTTGACAACATAAGGGTGGAGATGTAAGAAGATTCATAGTTGAGGGGTAGTGTAATTTGACCATACATTAGGGGTGGTTGTAATTTACCCTTTATCTATTTTAGCTTTTGTACTAAAATAAGGTTTTGTTATGCCTGAAATGAAAATCGGGAAGTTGATATCGTTTATTTGTGGACATTTTGACTAATGCATTAGAAGTATCGTGACTTGAAATAAAAATAACATAAAAGTAATATGTTTATCGTAGTCGATGCAGGCATCGCATGTTTGCTTCTCTCGACCATTCGATTTGTTTATGATACATGGCCTTGGAGTCGTGGCTTCAAAGCTTGTTTCTTTTAACTTAGGAAAAAGAAAAAAAAGAACTACGTACGTAGAATTTCTTCTGCAAATTCTGCAATGTTCGTATCGGAGCTTCCTCCTTCACTAACCGCTTCGACCGCCATCTCCTTCCATTTAACGGCGTTTCGTCTTATGACATCCCCACTCTCCCCTTCCATAACCTCGTTCACGCAAGCCACCACTTCCTCTCTACTAACAATCCCGTTTGGATCACACTTAACTCGAACCCCGTTCCGCCACACATCAGCTATGAGCTTGGCGTTAGTCGTTTGGTCCGTCCACTGTGGCATAACCACTAATGCCACACCCAAGCACAACGCCTCCAGAGTCGAATTCCACCCCCCGTGCGTGAAAAAGCACCCCACGGATCGATGAGAGAGAACTTCTAGCTGCGTGCACCAATTCACTATCAGGCCTCTCTCCGAGACGAAATCTTTAGGAATTTTGCATTGTTCGGTTTCTCTCACTACCCATAGAAAGTTGCGTTTGGTTTCGACGAGGCCCCATGCTAGCTCCTCCATTTGTTTCTCCGTTAGATCGGCTAAGCTTCCGAAAGATACGTAGATAACGGAACGGTCTTCTTTTGTTTCTAGCCACTGGAAGCAAGATTCGGTGCTTGGCTTGAAGAGGCTGAGGCCGTAATCGTAATTTCCTTTTAATCTCTTGTCTGCGTACATTGATGGGACGGTTGGCCCTATTGTCCGAATCGGGTATTTGTTCGACATCCATTTCAGTATCTGTTGAAATAGTTCCAGCAATTTCGTTAGACCATTCTCAGTAGAGACTCTAAAATGAAATTTTAGAAACATAATTTTTTTGGGGCAAATTACGGCCACCCCACCCCCGACTTATGATCAAATTACGAAAAACCCCCGACTATTTGGGTAATTAAAGCCACCCCTTCAACTATGCATTATCTTACGAAAATACCTCTCCATATGTAAATTTAGAGATATTAAATCGGTAAAACCGAACCGAAACTTCGGTAGGCCAACATTTCATACCGTTTACCGAACTGAATATACGATTTGGTTCGATAAATAACCGAATTACATAAATTTTATGTAAAAATATTTAAAAGGAGGGGTGGCTGTAATTACCCAAACAAGAGAGATTTTTTCGTAATTTAGCCATACCTCTGGGGGTGGTCGTAATTTGCCCTTTTTTTTGGGCAAAAAGAAATATTTTATTGCATTGGAAAGTTCATAGGGGCCTCGTTAGTACCCTTATTACAATGCTAGGACTATAAAATATTTTTTTATAAGCTTTAGCGGATGACCCGCTTGTGCTCATAATATATAATATCAGGCTCATAAATCCCTTGTGGTTCATAAGGGTAGCGTCCGTTAGTTTTTCGGTCAAAAATTAACCGTGTGTGTCACAATTCAATTAACCGTGTATGACACCATTGTGGTCACATTTTCCCTTTGAAATATGATACGCACAGTTAAGTTTGACGGAAAAACTAACGGACGCTACCGTTATCAGCCACAAGGGGTTATGAGCTGATATTACGAGCACAAGAGGATTATCTGCAAAAGCTTGTAACTACAGGTGTTTAACTGCTATTTACCACAACTATAATCAACTGGAAATTAAACTAAGAGTGTTCAACTTCAATAGTTTCTTCTGCTTCTAATAATCAAGCAAGAATCTATATGATCCAGACGAATATTTTTAGCATGCAATTTTTACGAAGTTTCTACAGTGTTGTCCATCCAAAAAAAATCGACAAATACTATGTAATTGTCCAATATTATATTATCGAGTTTAATACGTGGAAGATGAACCTACCTCATCCTCGAGCTTGTCGAACGTGTTGAATAAGCGCCAGTCGGCGTTCTCAAAAGTCGAGAATTGCTCCACCAAAAGCCTCAACAGAGACGGATAAGAATTCATATCGTAAACAAGCGTAGGCAAATCTTTCAACCCCATAACCGGCATTCCGGGCAAAGAAACCTCGAAGCCAACCTCATCGCTTGAAATCTCCAAATTGCCCTCGTGGAGATGGTAGAATATCGAACAAACGGTACACGGTTGCGTGAATAGCACCGCCCCTCTTAGTCCATTCCCCTTAGCAATATCCAAACACCAAGGAATAACCGAATCGTACACAACCGCCTTCACATGGTGGCCGGAGCTACTATGTTTCCGAATAATATCGGGAACGCCATTCGTAATCGAAGCTCTGAAATTCCGAATAAAAACTTCGTATATATCTAAGTTTTCGTCTCCACCATTTACGGTGGAATCAATATCGGGAACCGTTTCGATGTTTATCGTGTTTTCGTCGGTTCGATTTTGAAGGGTTTTGCTAATGGAAAAAGTCGTGACTAACGTAACGCGAATGCCTTTCGATATTAGGCGGTTACAGAGCTGCACCATGGGATTTATGTGGCCTTGTAGAGGGAAAGGAATTGCAATAATATGAGAATTTGTTGCCATTTTTTTTTTAATTTGGTGTAATAATCTTTTGTGCTTTGTGCTTATTTATAAGGACTTTTAGACAAATAAAAGAATGGTGAAGGGCTTAAAAGAATAGACTGATACTGAAAAGGATAGACAAAAATTAAATAAGTTTGGCCTTCTTACATGTGATTAGATAGACAAGGGGTTTATTATTACAAAGATGCCAACTATTTTGATTGAGTAATTATTAGGTGACTAGAAATAGTTCATATAAATAACAATTTTGTTTTTTGAAGTTATGGTTTCTTGTTTGGCTTCTTTTTCTTTCTTTTTTTTTTTTTTTGTTTTTTTATTATTGTTGTTTAAATATGTGGCTGATTTGATGCCAGAACAGAAATTGATTTGGACCAAACAATTTGGAAATAGTTAGGATAACGTCTTACAAGAATGGCAATAGATAGAGAGCATAATATTTAGTGAATGGTGATAATAGGTATATATTGATTGGTCGTGGGAACGGCCCCAGAACGGAACGAAAGGAACGGAAAAGGCCCTCTTCGTTCCGAATTCCGTAACAAAACCATTCCGCGGTGAAAAACGTTGGGAACCGGCCCAGAATGGGTGGAACGGAACGGGAAAGGCCTTCTCCGTATTGAATGACCATCTCCACCAAAAGATTAAACTGTTAGTGAAGTGTATTATTTAATATAAATATCTCCAATACGTCCCTTCAAGAGCAGGCGAATTACATTTGAAAGAGCAGGCGGGTGGCGGTTGGATTCGAACTCAGGACCTTTTAATTTGGCTTGACTCTGATACCAAGGTGAATTACCACCGCAACCAAAAGCTTAAGGTATTAGTGAAATGTATCATCTAATATTAATATCTCTAATACGCCTTTCCGAATTCCGTAACAAAACTGTTCCGTGGTGAAAAACGATGGGAGACTGACGCAGAACGGAAGCACGGTAAATAATTAATTTCTACGAATTAATCCTATAAAGCAAAATAACATTCGAAATCCACCGAACACTCTGGAATCCACCAGAAAATAGAGAAACTCTAAATATTTTATTAAAATTCGATTTTTTTCTCAAAATAAAGTCCCAAGGCAGCTATATAAAAAAAAATTGAAAACACTAATTAAACTAAGACAGTACTAAAAATTACCAAAAACGAGTTAGACCCTGATTCTAGTAGATCTCGTAATTTTGGGAACAACCCAATTTGTTCCTTGCGCCGTTTCACTTGAGAAAAAGTTCGTTTCGTATTCAAATCCAATTTGAGTTCGTAGAAAACCCTTATTTTTCCCATAATTTCTTTCGATACTGCCACCAATGCCCATTAATAACTCTTCTCTGAATTAAATAGTTATTTTGCAATTCGAATCCAATTTGACGTTTCTTATCAGAGACCGGCAAAAAATGGCTGGAACGTCAGTACTGTGCGATAAATGGGACAGTCGTGGTTGTCACGTGTACCGGAACGGGATTGAAACGACATGAATCATCTAATTACTTCTCCAGCTCTCCCACGGTGGTTTAAAGATGTCAAACTAGGGTTTTAACTTTTAATTAAAAGTTTTTTTAAAATTACAAGTAGCTCCAATATTTTAAATGTAGTTTGATTTGAGGCCAAGGGAACGATAGGTGAAAATTATGATTAGGTTTTTGAAGTCATCAAAATTTGCAATATAATTATTTTCTATTTCTTTCAAGGTAAAGAGATATTTTCATTACTTACAATTTCACCCTTAATTAGGTGTTTTTTACATTGTTTGTGCATTTTTGCACTTCTTGAGGTTTAAAAATTGTTCTAAAATTAAAATTAGAGTTTTAATGATAGTTTGTATATTATTCTACTGTAATATTAGGACTAGAACTTTATTTGACATTAACTCTATTTTTTCTGGAAAAAGTACTTTTTTTCTGTCCCTCAAATTTTTTTGGTCCCTCTTGTTAACAAATTTTTTTTTTCCTTCTTTGGGACAAATATATTTTTCGTCTCTCAAGGACCAAAGTGTTGAAGTTTTTAAACATGAGGGACTAAAATTGTTTTTTGCTGCAAAAAGAAGGGCCAAATGTGAAATAGAAGTAAAGGGAAAAATGTATCTTTCACAAAACAATAACTTCTTTTGAAAGATCAGATGAAATACACATACTGGTTTCAGGTAACTAATGACATTAAAAAAAAGGTCATTGAGAAAAATATAAAAATTATGGGAAAAATACAGTTTTCGTCTCTCAAGTTTGCACGGATTTTAAATTTCGTCGCTCATGTTTCAATAATTTAACATTTTTGGTCATTTCTATCAATTCATCGTCAGCCCGTCAGTTAAGTCAGTGCAACGCACACGCTTGATTCCATTAGTGCTAATGGAAATTTGATAGAAATGACTAAAAGTGTCGAACTTTTGAAACATGAGGGACCAAATGCATTTTTTTTAAATATGAGAACCAAATGTGAAATCAATGCAAACTTGATGGACAGAAACTGTATTTTTCCCAAAAAAATATGGTAAACTTTTGTTCAGGCAGTTAGAACCGGTGCATATTGTCAACTGTCAAGTGCCAATCAGAATCTTACGATGACTTCATGCCAACTAGCAACACACTTGGCTTCTGCATTATTTTAATCATGGTTAATTAAAAGAAAGTATAGCAATGGAATTACTAACTGTATATGGTTAGTCAAGTTACCATGGTTTGGAAACAAGGTAAGGATCGAAAAAAGAACCAAAGAAGCCTCACTTCTCCTCACCATCTGCAGATTCGCTCAAAAACAAAAAGTCGTCTCTCTCTCTCTCTCTCTCTCTCTCTCTCTCTCTCTCTCTCTCTCTCTCTCTCTCTCTCTCTCTCTCTCTCTCTCTCTCTCTCTCTCTCTCTCTCTCTCTCTCTCTCTCTCTCTCTCTTTCTCTCTCTCTCTCTCACACACACACACACACACACACACACACACACACATTCTCAAAGAAAACAATGGCAGGAGAAGTTGTGCTAGGAGCTGCAGTTCAAGTTCTACTTCAAAATCTGATCTCAGTTTCGGTAGAGCAAATCAGCCTCGTCACAGATTTCGATAAACACTTGAAAAGGCTAAACGATTGCGTCTCGACGATTCACAGTTTCTTGAACGATGCGGAGAAGAAGCAAGTCACTGATGAAACCGTCAAACGGTGGCTACGGAAGCTCGAAGGTGTGGCTTTCGATGCCGACAATCTCTTGGATGAGCTCAACTATCAGCATCTCTCCAAGAAACTTCATACCGACGAATACAAAATGCGGAAAAAGGTACGTTTCGGAAAATTTCGATGTCATGAGTCTTTTCAAAAAGATCCTTACATCGTTAGTAGGTACAAACGCCGAACTTGGAAATAAACAAGCCGTTCTGGAAGAGCTTCAGAAGCATTTGGGAACCGTAAGGTTTCTAATTGTCCTCGACGATGTTTGGAACGAAAATCAAGAAATATGGTGATTTTATTACTCCCTTGAGGAGAATTAGTTCCTCTGCGGGAAATGGCATCATTGTTACTACGCGACGCGAACATGTTGCCTCGCTGGTGACAACGCTTCCCATTCACCAACTAAGTAGCTTTTCAGACGATGAGTGTTGGTCCATAATCAAAGCAAAAGCCATTATTGGAGAAGGTACTATTCCGTCAGAATTTGAGACCATCGGAGTGCAGATTGCAAAAAGATGTCGAGGTTTGCCATTGGCGGCCAAAGTGGTTGGGGGATTGTTGCGCGGCAAGTCGATTGATGGGTGGCTCTCTATCGAAAAGAATTGGCTCTCAGATTTCGGAGATGAAAATTTAGTTTCCAATATTTTGAAATTGAGTTTTGATCATTTAACGCCACCGCCACTTGTTAAGTGTATATTTTTACACTTACTCGTACCTTTTTATTTGAGCTTTTGGTGTGTTTTAACGATAATTGGTGCTTAAAAAGTTGATTTATTGTATTTTAGGTACAAATTGAAGAATTGGAAAAGTACGGGGTACAAACTGCAATTTTGGAGAAAATACGGGCCAAAAGTGAAAAAACCAAAATATGAAGATTTAAAGCTCGGACGGCCGTCCGAGTTTCAGTTCAAAATGTGGGACGGCCGTCCAAGACCACGTGGTTGCGCAGTAAAGGGATTTTAATTGCACAAAGAAACTGTCTTCTTTCCCCAAGTTTTTCACCCTATATAAGACCAAGCCAAACACACAATTGGGGATCTTTTCACGCAATTTCAAGAGCAACAAAGCAATAACGAAGAATTCGAAGACTCTAAGCATAGACTTATCATTTATGATTAATTTTATTTGCGTTTTTCCTTTAATCATGAATAGCTAATTTTCTTATTTCTAGGATTTTATTTGGAACCCTATGTGGGATTTATGAACCCAATTCTATGATTTTATGCAAGTTTTAATTCCGGATTATTTCTCCTACTTGTTTTATTAAGTGCATGAATTTGATCACCTTATGTGTTTTTATGTTATTGTTAATCGCACGAATCGGAAGATCGGGTTAATAATTAGAACTGTGGTAGAAGAGTCTTTGTGGTATTAACATAGAATATAGTTAATATCTTAGGTAGTCATTATTGAGATTTGTGCTTGATGCTGTGTTATAGAATTAATTACATAGGAATATAGTAATTGAATCTAGAGTGTTAGAATCGTAATACACGCGGAAGCGGGTTATGATTATTTTAGCATCTCATGTTAATAATCCGGGATAATTGCTTGCATAAAAAATTGAAGGAATTGGGGTAGTAATAATCACATAGGGGGGAGAATAAAATCCTAGGCTTGTTTACTCTGATTAAACCTTCGCTTTTAATTGTTTTCGTGCTATTGTCTTTTTAATTTGTGTTTTTTTTTTTTTTAATTTAGTTAATTCTCTCTAAAGTCGACTGTGTAGGGTGGGCTTGATAGCAATTGGTAGAATTTAGCGACTAGGATTAGATAATTAAATATTCTATGTGGGATCGATACTTGGACTTAAAAATCCACTTTATTACTTGTACGATACGTGCACTTGCGTGTAGGTATTACTACCTACAAGTTTTTGGCGCTGTTGTCGTGGAAAAGTACGGGGTAAAAAATGCAATTTTTGAGAAAATATGGGCCAAAAGTGAAAAAACCAAAACATGAAGATTTAAAGCTCGGACGGTCGTCCGAGTTTCAGTTCAAAATGTGGGACAGCCGTCCGAGACCACGTGGCTGCGCACTAAAGGGATTTTAATTGCACAAGGAAACTGCCTTCTTTCCCCAAGTTTTTCACCCTATATAAGACCAAACCAAGCACACAATTGGGGATCTTTTCACGCAATTTCAAGAGCAACAAAGCAATAACGAAGAATTCGAAGACGCTAAGCATAGACTTATCGTTTATGATTAATTTTATTTGCGTTTTTCCTTTAATCATGAATAGCTAATTTTCTTATTTCTAGGATTTTATTTGGAACCCTATGTGGGATTTATGAACCCAATTCTATGATTTTATGCAAGTTTTAATTCCGGATTATTTCTCCTACTTGTTTTATTAAGTGCATGAATTTGATCACCTTATGTGCTTTTATGTTATTGTTAATCGCATGAATCGGAAGATCGGGTTAATAATTAGAACTGTGGTAGAAGAGCCTTTGTGGTATTAACATAGGACTATAGTTAATCTCTTAGGTAGCCATTATTGAGATTTGTGCTTAATGTTGTGTTCTAGAATTAATTGCATAGGAATATAATAATTGAATCTAGAGTGTTAGAATCGTAATACACGCGGAAGCAATTGAATCTAGAGTGTTAGAATCGTAATACACGCGGAAGCGGGTTATGATTATATTAGCATCTCAGGTTAATAATACGGGTTAATTGCTTGCATAATTGAAGGGATTAGGGGAGTAATAATCACATAGGGGGAAGAATAAAATCCTAGGCTTGTTTACTCTGATTAAACCTTCATTTTTAATTGCTTTCGTGCTATTGTCTTTTTAATTTGTTTTTTTTAATTTATTTTAATTTAGTTAATTCTCTCTAAAGTCGACTGTGTAGGGTGGGCTTGATAGCAATTGGTAGAATTTAGCGACTATGATTAGATAATTAAATATTCTCTGTGGGATCGACACTTGGACTTAAAAATCCACTTTATTACTTATACGATACGTGCACTTGCGTGTAGGTACTACTACCAACAATACTCAAAAAGTGTTTTGCGTACTGTTCGATATTTCCTAAAGGATTTAACTTGGAAAGAGAAAAATTGGTCGAACTTTGGATGGCAGGGGGCTTTCTTGAAGGAACTAATATGGAGATTGTGGGCAACAATTTCTTTAATATTCTCTTACAAAACTCCTTGTTGTTACAAGTTGTGGGGCGAAACGACTATTATGGCAATATAATGTTTTATAACATGCACGATCTTGTGCATGATCTAGCATCGTCTATTTTAAATTCAAGCGAGCAAGTTCGGTACATAGGCCTGCAATCATCTACTAGCGGTGAATCGCGTGCTATCCTAAATGAACAAGCAATTTCTCTCCGTTCACTATTGTCCAATGATAAAATATGCGTTTGCATGTTCTCGGAGTTCAAATCGTTGCATGTTTTAATTCTAATGGGCAATTGTGTGGAAGAGTTTCCAAGTTCGATCGGAGTGCTAATACACTTGAGATGTCTTGATATTTCAGGCATAAGAATCGAATATTTACCGGACTCTATCACCGAACTTTATCACTTGCAGACGTTCAGAGCATGTCACGCTTTGAAGAAGCTACCGAATACATTGGAGCATTTAATGAGCTTGAGACATCTTCATGTTCCTCAAATAGAATTGCCTCTGGGGATTGGAAGATTAACTTCTCTTCGAACACTACAGTACTTTGGAGTGAGCAATGAAAACGGTTGTGGAATTGACGAGCTCGGAAGCTTGAAAAATCTCCAAGGGGAACTGCAGATTTATAATCTCGAAAAGGTGTGTGGCAAATAAATGGCTATGAGAGCGGATTTATTACGAAAGCCAAACATAGTGAAGTTAAATCTTGAGTGGAGTATTGAAAATAGAAAAGGTGAAAAGGGCAACGAGAGTGTGTTGGAAGGCCTCGAACCCCACCCGAATTTAAAGGGCTTATACATTTGGGGATTCGGAGGGAGACGTTTGCCACCATGGTGTTCAACGATTTCGGGACTTAATAATTTGATGGAGATAACACTTGAAGATTGCACGGATTGCGAACAAGTTCCGATGCTAGGGCACTTGCCAAATTTGAAGAATCTTTATCTAATTAACCTGGAGAATGTGAAATCCATAGGTTCGTCATTCTACGGAATCGTGGGATTGACCTGTCTCCCCGATTGGCTGTTCCGTAACAATCCAAATCTCTCGCAAGTGTATGTGGGTTCCCAACTTAACGCATCTCTAAACAGAGAGCCGTGGGCGCCCTCTTTAATCGGAGAGTTTAATCCGAAACAATAATATAGTCTGTAATCAGAGAAGAACAAATGAACTGTTTTGCGTGTTGTGTTTGTAGTCTTAGCTGATGAAGCGCCACCCGAACCGAACAAATGGCCTAACGATACGGCCGGCGTTTGTGCCGATGAATTGATGTTCGTTTTACCGTCTTTAATTTTTGCCTAATAAATTTCTTGTTATGATGGGTTTATAGTAGGACCCAATCTTTCGATCCGGCCCATGGCCATCTCTAAACCCCTCCCCCAACCTAAAACCAAAAACTAAAATCGAACACCTTAAATTGTACATCCACCGCCGCACACGTCGGAGAACCACCATTTACGAGTAACTGAAATCGTCTCCGACGGCGGCCGTCGATATGGCCGCCGTGAGGGAGGTTTTTATGGCAGCATCCGTGGTGGAAGCGGTTACGGTGGTTGTCGTGGCGGTGGCGGTTTTGAAGGAAACTTCAAATTTACTTGCATTTTTGTGGGATAATTACACTTTTCGTCCCTATACTTTACCACTTATTCGTTTTTCGTCCTTAAACAAGTTGGAGTGACATTATTCATCCCTAAACATGCCATTTTTCTGCTATTTTCGTCCCTCCGTCAATTTGGGTGGTTAGTTTGGACGGAAAATAACACGTGCTTCGCACATGCTACGTAAGAGTCAATCCCTCTCTTCAATTTCAGATTGCATCTTCTTTAGAACATAAGCCTTATTTTCCAAATGGTTAATTTCTTCAATATCACACCTCTTTGGACTTGTAAATAGCCTCAATAATCCCCAAAATACAATTTTTTTCCATCATACCAATTTGATGCAATGTAATTTATATTTTGAATGATGTTTTTCTTCAAAGAGAAGATGTTAATTAATATATTTGGATTTTTTGAATGAAACTGTAATATGTTAAGCTACTCAACAAGAATTCTTTGTTTTTTTACATATTGAGGATTTGCATGATTTGCAATTTTGTAAACTTTAATTTAGATTACCTAACCTTATTAGTCATTATCTCCATATATGAAGAAAACCCAATTGACGTTAACTACTCATTTAAACAAAAAAATTGTCATGGCCGGTGTAGGGGATATTAATCATATATTATTTAAACTTGTTTTTGATTGATGCAGTCTTCAATCGTCTCTAATAATATTGAATAGAAAAAAAAAATAGATGTAGTTGCAAGTCTTCTATATTCATTAATACTAAAGTGTGTGTATGTCACTGTATGTTTTGAGTTCAAATATGGAAATTTCATGCAAAGTCGAAATAAATATTATTCATACAACAATTGTATCGTTCACATTCAATTATGAGAATTTCCTCTTAATTAGGTGGGAATGGGTCTCTGATTGCATGGTGGTGGCTCGTCTGCAAATTTGAAATGGAATGTGTATGGTGACTCGTTCTCTCTAGCAAAGTTTAAAGATGAGTCTTGTTGGGTGCCAACGCATGGGTAATTTGAGTTAATATGAGTTGGTTTCACGAAGCATATATATCAACAGCGGCATACATGTGAGTGGCCACGTGGATAAATCGTCCATGTCAGCAGCATATATTAAGATTCAGGTCCACGTCAGATTTCCATCCAAAGTAACAGCAAGAATTAACGGCAGGACGAAAACTGCTAAAAAATGGCATCCAAAGTAACAACAAGAGTTAACGGCAGGACGAAAACAACTAAAAAATGGCATGTTTAGGGACGAATAATGTCACTCCAACTTGTTTAGGGACGAAAAACGAATAAGTGGTAAAGTATAAGGACGAAAAATGTATTTATCCCCATTTTTGTAGTAATTTCGTGTTCAAGCTTTCAGATCCCGTTTTTGGTTTGGTTTTCATGGCTACTCTATTTTTTATCGTTTGTTTTGAAGTTTTCCATGTACGAAGCAGTGTTTACAGAGTTCTAAAGAAAAAAAATAATTGGGTTAATTTGGAGAAGATGGCTTTTCTGCAAGTGCTAAGGACTGAATTGAAAATTTTGAAAAACTTCATTTTGGGGTGTAATTTTTCTGGGGTGAATCTGTAATTTCTAGAATTTATAATTGAAAGGATATTTTGGTCTTTCCAGTATAAAAAATACACACACCAGGCGCAAAATCCGCACGTGTAACACACGATAAGCTGTCAAGGTCCTTATTGCCTTTGACTGATTTTCATAGAGGTTTTTGCTAAAAAAAGTTTAAAACGAGGGTTTTTTCGATTATTCGAGGTTACACAGGGGTGGTTTTTGAAAAAAATAAACCCTGAAAACAACATATACATGCAAAAATATCATACTCATACAGATTTAATAAACTAGAGATTTAAGGTGGATTCACAACTAGCAATAACCTTAAAAGAAAATTTTCTATGAATAGTAAGTCCATCACCTTCACACATATCCGGATCTTCTCTGCTCGCGCCACCTGGCAATTCAAATCGGAAATTTAAAACAACATTCGCAAGAACAAGCTCCACAATTCTCATGGCGAACGCACCCCCAGGGCACCCCCTTCGCCCCCTTCAAACGGAATTAACTCGAGCGTAACGTTCAAAACACGTTAAAGTTTATGGGGCTAAAGTCATTTAACCCTTTTAGTTTTGCATTTTGTAGTTTCAAAAGGATTAATGAATATATAAAAAAATAATTTGACATTTAATTGGCATCCTAAAAAGATATAAATAAAAATAATAAATTACCTTCATCATCTTTAAAAAAATTATTCGGGGTGCATTACGCATGATTCATTGTGTTTCGAGGGTGCAAAGTGCATCAATGCTATATTTCAAGGGTGCAAAGTGGGATTAAGCCATAATTTTATTGGACCTCTCAAGATTGAATTCTTAAGTGTATTAAAAAAAATTATGTAATTTCTTCCCTTGACCTATTAATTTCAAATATATATACAGATAAGTTAGTGTTCTAAAAATCGGTCGAGGCGGCCGATTAATCGGTCTCCGAGGCGGAGGCGGTCTAACACCTTTACGATTTTAGTGTAATGGTTTGACAAATCGGTTTTTGCCTGCGAGGCGGTTTTAGGCGATGCGAGGCGGGTTGAGGCGGTCAAACCTTGGAGGCGGGTCAAATTTTGGTGGCAAAAATTGATCAAAAATCGTTTTTTTTAAATAAATAAAAAAAGTTGGGCTTTTAATAAATAATGAGTTTATGTTTTGTTTTATTTTGTTCATATTAATTTTTATTTTTAAAGGACCTAATGATATATGCTTGAATGTTCAATTATAATTTTGGATGCACAAGATTTTCGTTTTATTTTTATTTTGTAAGAATTTTATTATATCATGATCCTATTATTATTAAAACTAGCATTTTTTCCCGTGCGATACACGGGATATTATTTAAATAGTAAAAAAATAATTAATTTAATACATAATAAGAAAATATAGTACACTAATATAAAATTTAATAATGTAGTATTATTCATATTTTATACAACATTAGTTTTTTTAAATCTTACATATTAAGATTTATAATCCAAAAAATAGACTAAGATTTAACAAATCGAATTTCTAGCTTTATCTCTTAAGATTTGAGATATATTAAAAATAGATGATTACATAAGTACCAATAAGAAAGGATTCTTCACGTGTTAGTTTTAATTTTGATAATTGTTAAAAATTAGTAGAGAAAAAATATTAAAAATAAATAATTACAGAAATACCATTAGGATTTTTTAGGGTTTTCTTTCTTTTATATATAAGATTTTATTATGTGATTATGATATATAAATGATGTGGATAAAATCATGTTTAAATATATATTTTTATATATATTTTGAGTATTTACCAATAATATCTAAAATTATATTACATTAAATTTAAAAAACTGATTTATTGCGGATTAATCACCGTCGCGGCGATTAATCGTGAGGCGGTGCCTCGGTGACTCGGGTCCGATCCGCGCCTTTTACAACCTTGAGACGAAGTTAAACACACATTTTTTTTACTATTTCACAAATTTTTAATTTAGAGGTGAGGTCTCTGTAATTTCAGTTTCAGTAAGTAAGAGGGTGTACGTTATTCCAATATTACAGTATGAAAACTATCTCAATAGAAAATGATAGATTGATTTTGTGTGTGTGATATTCATTCGTTGCGTTGCGGAAAAGATATCATCAGTTGGTCCCGCAGCCATCAACGCTCTTTTTTTCTTTTCTTTTCCTCTTTCTCTTTGTTTTTTGGCTGCCAGCTTTTTTTTTTTTTTCTTTTTTTCTTTTCTCTTCTCTTTCTTTGTACAACAATGTCATTTTTCATTTTTTTTTCCTTTTTCCTTTTCTTTTCTTTTGATTTTTTCTTTTGATTTTTTTCTTTTGATTTGATTTTTTTTTGTTGTTTTTTATATATTTGTTTGTAATCATAAAAATAATAATAAAATAATAATATTATTACTATAATAATAATTCCGCTTGGATTATTATTATTATTATTATTATTATTATTATTATTATTATTATTATTATTATTATTATTATTATTATTATTATGGTGGTGAGAGGGAGGTTGAAAAAAATGTAATAAAAAACTAGACG